GTCAGAATTGGCTGCTCCTCCCCGTGATGCTCATCTCGCCGCGGTACGGCACCATCCGTCTTCCTGAAAGGCCGAAAAGAGGCCTGAAAAAGCAGAGAGCCAAAGGTCAGCCTCAGGAATCACAGCGGCTAATGTTAGCATGGGAGCGAGGCTAAAGTCAATATTCAGCAGTGGGGACGGCGGCGAGGAGCGCGCAGAGACTTCAGTGATAAATCACACACAGCGCCGGCTGCACACAGACGTTTATAAATAATGATACCAGACACACTACTCACATCTCCAAGGATAAAACTTTATTTGTTGTTGCTGAGAACTTGAATCAGACACTACTTCTGCTCCCGTCTTGACAAAACTTTTGCAGACCCAACGATTTATGGAGGACAGTCGGGACACTGACCACACTTTAAAGTGATAGTTTGGCCAAAAATGAAATGTACCTAGTTTCCTTCCAATTACTCCATGTTTAGTGTCTGAAGTTTGCTTCTTTAGTTTTGCACTGGAACTACAAGGCTGATGTGGCTAACAAGTAATGATAGCTTGTATGCTAATGAGCATAAGCATCCCTAAATCATTCATGCGTTTGCCTCAAACTGTGTGGAGTTGTCCAGTAACCGCTAATAGACTTGCTTATGTGGTTTCTGACACTGTATAACACACTGTGAACTATAAACATGGACTAAAGTATGGATAAAATTTAGGCTTCAAGATGGCTGTTCAAGTCCAAGTCCATTTTTTCCCCCAAAAAATAATTTAATAAATGCATGACTTATATCAAATTATTCAACAATACCTCTTTTATGTGAAACAATTCTCATTGCATCTACATAAAACTCATTTTAGTTTCTTTTTGCCTCCAAATGTCTATAATATCAGGTGGTGCAATCATCCAACCGCATATGTTAATTAAGTAAACTATCAAAACAGGTAGTTTAGTTATGTAAAATTCTAAATGAAATTGTTTGGCATGGTCTTATGTTTACTTTAAAATACAAACCATATTACAAAATAAAACAACTTTAAAAGTGTTTAACTCACTGAAAAAATTTCTTCGCAAGTTGCTACTTCATTAAATGTTAGGCAGCACAACCGAAAACGAAGGACTTTTATTTTTACATGCGTTGGTGAAAGAGGGGGCAGTGTATTGCTTCATAAAGAAGACCCCAAGAGACCTTCATGGTGCAATGCCAAGTTCAGTAGCACTTTCACAAATTCTGGAAAAAAAAATGATTTTTGAGTCGTGGTTAGAACAATTCAGTTTACCATGTCATGTGATCTGGTAATAATAATAATAATGATAATAATAATAATAATAATAATAATAATAATAAATTACTGCTCAAAAAATACCCAGAAGGATAAGCGGTTTAGAAGATGTATGTATGTATGTATGTATGTATGTATGTATGCTTAAAAAATGCTGATCCGACTTATATAAGATCTCTCTGGGTGTGGCCTAATATTCTAATGAAGAAGCTTGATTGACATCCTTCAGTCCAAGTGAGTCCTGTGTCCATCCATCTAGGGAATGCTGGCATGGCAGGCTGAAAGAACGTACAAACAAAACGAACAGACAGACAGATGAACAAGCTCGGCCGCTCAGTTATGCCTGCTTGTTAGCTTTCGCTTGGTGGTTAGATTTCTCTCATTTAGTGTCTCTGACTCAAACACAGAGAAGGTTTTTTTGTTAAAGGTGTGTGGGTGGGACAACCCATATCAGATTTGGGATTGGTGAGGGTACTGCTAGCCTACACATGACCCAAGATTAGGACCGCCCACTTTACACCTAAGGAAAAGCATCTGGACAAAATATATTGGCTATTTAGTGGAGATTGAGACGTTATTCATAGGACATACTGTACATTGTAAGTTGTACTTGCAAGATAAACACAAAGAGAGAGAAGATATGGATTTAGGTTACTTAGTGCAGGTTTAAGTATATTATTGCACTATAAATACAGTGTATGGAAAACGTTTATTGCAAGGAAAAAAATATATATAAATATACTTATATTTTATTACATTCCAGAACAGATAGTCAGTAAATAAAAAGTATGAAAAAGTTTTAACATCAAAACTTTGCCATGTTTAAATATGTATGTTTCTATATTTAGACTACATCAACATACATCAAAAAAATATAATTTTAAGAAAAATATAATAATTTATTTGTGTGTTTGACCTTTTCCACCAACTCATCATTATTTTCTTTTTCTGTTGTTTAAAATGTCTATGCTTTGCCTTTAATAAAGCTTCCATTCTTTTCAGGGGAACAGTTGCCTTCACTTTTCCAAAGAAATCTGCAGGGACATTTTTCTACTCCTACAAAGTTCAGTCTTAGAAGTTGGTTGTATGTAATTTGCTCCAGTGTAAAACTACAGAAGCAGGAAACATGTCTTGGCTGATTGACTGCGTTTTGGTTAAGCGGAGGGAACTTGCAAATCTAATTCTTGGCCAAACTACTGAACAAAGTAGTACTGCAGTAATAAGTGCATCTCCATTGTGTTTATTTTTCCTCTTATCTTGTCATGTAAACAAAAAGCGCAGTGCGTAAATCTGTCAGAGAGAAAGCTGAAGGTCAAGCAGGATGCTAGTGTTGAAGTAATGAATAATTCTGATAAGAACGCTGCTAAAGCTCTGCTTATCTCTGGCTAAAGTAAAGCTGGGTGTTTTGGCCGTGCAGACTGGAGATATTCTTACACTATCTTTTTTTTTTTGTGAGCATCCTGCTCTGGAGGACTTCCAACAGGAAATCAATGATGTGATTGAATCGCTCTTTTGAAAAGGCAGTGATGGAGAAAGAGAGAGAAGCGAGAGATAGAAGAGAGAGGAAAAGAAACGGAGGGTAGTTTAGGTCAATATATTCATTTCTGTCAAATCATTAATTATCCAATGAGCTAAGCAGGAGCACAAATCAACAGAGCGGCACCAGCAGAGAACCACCAGACAGCACAGAGAACAGCAGATCAGCACAGGCAGAGAACCAAAGAGCACCCCCAAAAGAGAACCGACAGACCAGTACTAATAGACAACCAGCAGACAGCACAGAGAACCAACAGAACAGCACAGACAGAGAATCAGCGGAAAAGCACAATCTGACCACCAGCACAGCAGCACAGAGAGCCAGCAAAGCAGGACTGACAGAGAACGAGTAGAACAGCTCAGAGAAACAGCAGAGCATCACAAACATAGAACCAGCAGAACAGCACAGAAACAGAACCAACAGAGCAGCACCAGCAGAGCAGTATAAACACAGAACCAGCAGAGAGGCACTAACAGAGAACCAGCAGAACAGCACGGAGACCCTGTATAAATGTAGGAATGTTATGTGGATGAAAGAATGCTTGCTCGCTCGCTCGCTCTCTCTCTCTCTCTCTCTCTCTCTCTCTCTCTCTCTCTCTCTCTCTCTCTCTGTCCTGTTATATATTTAATATTATATGTACTGATGCAGGGCCAATATTAATGTTGACTATGCAGTTACATATTTAATGTTGACTGTGCTGTTACATATTTAATGATTTAATGTTGACTGTGCTGTTACATATTTAATGTTGACTGTGCTGTTACATATTTAGTGTTGACTGTGCTGTTACATATTTAATGTTGACTGTGCTGTTACATATTTAATGATTTAATGTTGACTGTGCTGTTACATATTTAATGTTGACTGTGCTGTTACATATTTAATGATTTAATGTTGACTGTGCTGTTACATATTTAATGATTTAATGTTGACTGTGCTGTTACATATTTAATGTTGACTGTGCTGTTACATATTTAATGTTGACTGTGCTGTTACATATTTAGTGTTGACTGTGCTGTTACATATTTAATGTTGACTGTGCTGTTACATATTTAATGATTTAATGTTGACTGTGCTGTTACATATTTAATGTTCACTGTGCTGTTACATATTTAATGTTGACTGTGCTGTTACATATTTAATGTTGACTGTGCTGTTACATATTTAATGTTGACTGTGCTGTTACATATTTAGTGTTGACTGTGCTGTTACATATTTAATGTAGACTGTGCTGTTACATATTTAGTGTTGACTGTGCTGTTACATATTTAATGTTGACTGTGCTGTTACATATTTAGTGTAGACTGTGCTGTTACATATTTAATGTTGACTGTGCTGTTACATATTTAGTGTTGACTGTGCTGTTACATATTTAGTGTAGACTGTGCTGTTACATATTTAATGTTGGCTGTGCTGTTACATATTTAGTGTAGACTGTGCTATTACATATTTAGTGTAGACTGTGCTGTTACATATTTAGTGTAGACTATGCTGTTATATATTTAATGTTGACTGTGCTGTTACATATTTAATGTTGACTGTGCGGTTATATATTTAATGTTGACTGTGCGGTTACATATTTAGTGTAGAGTGTGCTGTTACATATTTCATGTTGACTGTGCTGTTACATATTCAATGTTCACTGTACGATTACATATTTAGTGTAGACTGTGCTGTTACATATGTAGGGTTGGCTGTGCTAGTTTGTACTTAGCATTGACTGTGCTGTTACATATTTAGTGTAGACTGTGCTGTTTTGTACTTAGCATTGACTGTGCTGTTACAAATTACATGTATTATTTTATATATATTATATATGTTACATACATATATTACATTGTCTGTGCTGGTACATAATTTAAATTCACTGTGCTGTTACATATTTAATGTTGCCTGCATATTTAAGGTTGAACTGTCCTGTTATGCATTTAACATTGATTGAATAATCAGCGTTGACTGTGCTGTTACGTATTTACTGTTGACTAAGTATTTAGGGTTGACTGTGATGTTATGTATTTATTGTTGACTGAGTATTTAGGTTTTGACTGTGCTGTTACATATTCAACATTGACTATTTAGGGTTGACTGTGCTGCTACGTATTTAACATTGAGTATTTAGGGTTGACTGTGCTGTTCTGTATTTAGCTTTGACTGTGCTCTTACATATTTAATGCCGAATGTGCTGCTATTGTTCGTTTAGGTTGGAGTCTCCGACGCGGACGTTAACGTTGGAGGCCCCTAAAGGTGTGGAGGTGAATGCAGGAGTTGGGGAGTTTAGAGCTTCCTGCAGGAAAGACCTCACTCTGGAGTCGTCAGAGGGAGAGGTGAGTCCACACACTCAACTGCAAACCCTTCAGACTTTGCAATGCTAACAAGTGCCACCACAGTAAGAGCTGATCATAGATTACAATTAGCATCACAGTCACTAATAAGAGATACAATAATATTTTGTCATTTTATTTTCAATTTTTTTTCATTTGTATTATATTTGCTAATACCCCCTAATCAATAAATACACATTGTAAAAGTTAGATTTCATATTTCTTTAATAAAGTAATGTAAATTTTTCTTAGTTTTGAATGTGCTATCATGTACTAATGAAGGAAGTAGCATCTAGGGAGGTTTGCAATTGGCTCTTAGGCACATCGGTCATCATTTTGCAAATAGCCGTTTGCGGTCCACTGATAAGGGGGAAAAAATCCAGGGCCAATATGGATCCATTATTAAAAGTAATGTCATTAACCAGGTAATGCAACTTGCTAAGAAGGACATCAGATTGCTGCTAGTTTGATTACAAGCCACATTCTGACCACATCTGTGATCAAAATCTGCAAGATCACAGTTTCCGAGCTCTCGCTGGGTGAAAGGGAATGACTAGGCCCTATCGAGTCAGAACATTGCTAGCTTATCTCAGGCTTCGTACACAGAACTAGACAGTTAGCGCGCTCGTCTAAGTGCGTTTAGCTGGCCTGCTACATTGCATGATGTGGTGGTTGGCCTCATGTGCCCTCCCAGGTGGGTGGTTATTTTACGATGGCGGAAAGGATTTGGAAATGGCTAACACTGGGAGAAAATTGGTTTAAGGAAAAAAAAGAATGTTATTAGCTGCAGGCAGGCAAAACTGGTCGATCTGTACGTGAGTTTAGGCTCTGGAAGAAACTTCTCGCACTTAGCATTCAGCCGAGCTGTTGGCGCAGAAGTGCCTTCAGCATGCTGGTGGAGGATTTGGGGCTTGAGCTTATCATGCATCGAGGGTGGCTAGTTTGCATCTGTATGACAGCTAGTTAACATGGTCGTACATGATTTACAAGCCATATCAGTGCAAGCCAGACCAGTTCGGTGGGGTCTCTCTCCCTCTATGTTCTGCTGTCTGTCTACATCAGAGCTGTCGAACCAGATCCATAGCCATGCAATTGCGAGTGTCTTTCCCACTCAAGTGCACCTGAAATGAAATGCATGAGAATTAGCTGATGACCTGAAGGAGGTGTAAATCGTGGAAAAGAATAACTGTGCTATGAGACCAGAAGTGGACGCTGACACCAATCTAGTGGCCAGTGGTGTTCTCCATGCTCTGTTACACCTGATTCAACCTATCAGCTTATGAACAAGCCCTTCCTGAAATGAAGGGAATAAACAGGTGTTTATGTACTGTTTGCTACCTCAGCATTTTTGAGTGAGGAAGCTGCCTCACTTCTTACTCTTTTTCTGACACGTTGGAGAACCTAGCAGTTACAGTAGTGAAGGGAACCAGGAATACTTAAGAGATGTATTGTGTAGAAAACCATTTCATGCTTTAATTGTTCTTTGCATGAATGGGTTCTTCAAATTGATGTAGAATGTGATGCATATGGTTCTATATAGTACCAAAAGGGGTTCTGCTGCTTCAACTACCTTGACATCAAACTATTTTCAAAAAGGTTCTATTTAGCACCTTATACAAAACATTTTCTATCAATCCGAAGAACAATTTCACCATTCAAATAACCATTTATGCATGAAGTGGTTCTATATAGAACTCATGGTCCTAATAGAACCATTGCCTTTACTCAAGTGTGTAGCATTCGTCCATCATTTGCCATCTTAGCATCTTTGAGTGTGGAACCTACCTTACTTCTTATTCATCCCAACATGCTGAAGAACCTAGCATTACTAGTAACGAAGAAAAGCTAGCAGTTGTGTGCTAGCTTTTCTTCACAGTGGTTCCCATCCCTGGTCCTGGGGTGCCCTTCCATTGTTTGGTGTTCTCCATGCTCTATCACACCTATCAACTTATTAACAAGCCCTTCCTGAGATAAAGCGCAGGACTGATCTACCGTTTGCCATCTTAGCATTTTTAAGTGAGGAATTTGAACTTCACTTAGTAAAATGAAGCTAATCTGGAATAGTTGAGAGGAATGTGTATTCTTTATGTGTAACTGTGGTAATTCTGACATGACAATCTTTTACACCCAGATCAAATCTAATCAAGGCTAGTTAGCAGATGTGTTCATGTTAGCTACTTTATATTAGTACCTAGTATAAACTAGCATAATATTGGTATTAGTTATTTGCCACCTTAGCATTTTTACATTTTGAGGAACTGACCTTACCCTCACTGTAGCTGACATGCTAAAGAACCTAGCATTGCTAGGAGAGAACTGAAGCTAATCGTGCCTAGGTGCTTACCTTAGTCTCTACTTAATGACATGCTGCGAAACCTAGCACTGCTAGGAATGAATTAAAGCTAATTAGGACTTAGTTAGCAACTTGCTGCTTTGTACTAGTGTTCATTCCTCAGGACATAGGTTGCTCAAACCTTGCCAATCTTAAGTACCTTTAGACCATCCAATCTTTCTGACATGCCTAATAACCTAGCATGGCTAGGAATAGTGAAGCTAATCGGGTCTAGTTAGCAGATGTGGTCAAGCTAGCTGGTCTGTGTTAGCATTCATCAGTCACTTGCTGGATTGATTTGGTGCTGCCATGTTGTTAGGAATGCTCCCATCTCTATCTCTCTCTCTTTATCTATCTGACATGTGTTCCTTGCTAGGGCTAAAGTGAAGCTAACCAGGGCTAGTTAGCAGATGTGTTTGTGCTAGCTGGCTCCTACAGGCATTCAGCCATTATTTGTAGCCTTAGCATTTCTGGGTGAGAAACTCACCTTACAGTTACCTTCCGTTTCTGATGCAACGAGGAAGCTAGCATAGCTAGGAGTGAATTGAAGCTAATCGGCTTTGGTTAGTGGCCAGCTGGTCCCTACTGGCGTTCATCTATCATTTGCCACCTTAGCATTTTTGGGTGAGGAACTTATTTAACCGTGCTGATGCGGGTAGAGCGTCCAGACTTGTCGATCTTTGCACCCTGATCAAATTAGTGCCGCCATATTGCTTAGGATGCCTCCACCTCTCTCTTTCTCGCTCCTGATCTCTCTCGCTCTCGCTCCCTCTCCCTTGTCTCGGTTTAGTAACTGCCCAGGCTATTTAATTAACTTCCCGGAGCCCGAGCAATACATCATGCTGTCCTGTCAGCTCCCTGTAAAAAGGAGCTTTCTCTTTCTTTTCGCCGTGGAGATAGCCGGCGAGTCCCTGAGACCGGCACAATGCCGCTGAGAGCGACACGCCGCGATATGATAGAGAAGTCACTGACGGCCAGGCCGGATGAAATCGCTTATGAAAGGCACGTCGGTCCGATCCTTTAGCCGGGCGAATTTGTCAAGTCAGTCAGTCTCGCTCCCTGTCTCCCTTCCTCTTTTCCCTCGCATAGGTGCTCCTCCGGCTCGTCTGATTTTCTCTCGCTCCTCTTTAATTCTCACTTATTCCTCGCGGGACGGGGAGAGACGAGACGAGACAAGAGGCGGCGACAAAGGCAGGGGGAAGAGAACACAGACGTTCCTGTCAATTTAGAGGGGAGAATGAGGCGCATTAGACAGGCCAGATGGAGAGCTAAATCAGGGTTGACAGCAGGCAACTTTTAAAAAGGCAACATTAAAAGTCTGGAGCTTCTGGAAAGGGAATTAAAGGCAGGGACGTGCCCCGTCTCCCAGCTCGTCAAGAGGCTCGTTGCAATCAGCGGCTCGGCTCGGTTTTGTGATGATGCGCTTTGTTTGGAGAGAGAGGACAGGTGGGAGAGAGACACAGAAGCAGTGGAGAGTCCACATGCAGAGGGAGGACGAAGGTGGAGGCTATTAGGCATCACATCACTGTCCTTTGGTGAAAAATCGGATTATAATCAACCCCCTTTACCCCAAATGTAGTTGATCATCGTTCTTTGACAGCAGGAATAGAAGATCAACATGCCACGATCCCCACCAACTAGCATCATGCTAAATGCATCACGAGGACGACAATGGATAGAGTTAAGTAGATGCTATTTGCAATACGTGCAAATAGAATGATGTTGCTATGTACACTTAGTCTTCAAAGTAATATCAGGCTATTTAAACTTACATGATTATATGCAACTTATGCTATTTCTTCATATCGATTTAGCAGTTTTAGCCTATATTTCAGCAATAAAAGCTCAAACTGTATTGACATTCCTACCAACTACCCTCAAAGGTTTGTGCACCCATGTTATGTCATGTTGATACAAGTCTATTAGTAACACCCTATTAACCATGTGGGGAACCATAGCAACAATCTAGCAACAGCCTAGCAACCACCTGAGATACCACAGCAACCACTACCAACACCTAGCAACCAACTGAGATTCCATAGCAACCACCTAGCAACACCCTAACAACCACTTGAGATACTATAGCAACCACTACCAACACCCTAGCCGCCACCTGGGATACACTAGCAACCACCTGCGATACCATAGCAACTACCTAGAAATACCCTTGCAACCACCTGGGACACCATAGGAACCACGTCGCAACACCATAGGAACCAGCAGGAATACCATAGGACCATAGCACCTTTGCAACCACCTAAAATACAATAGTAACTGTTGGGCAGCACCATAAGATGAGTCAGATAAAGTCCAAGTCTAGTCTACAGCCAGTTGAGGTTGTGTCCGAGCCGAGTTGCAAGATAATTAAGGGCGAATCCAAGTCGAGTTTGCAAGTCAGTTAAAGGCGAGTCCAAGTCTAGTCATGAGTCAGTTAATGGCGAGCCCGAACTGAGTTCGCAAGTCAGGTAAAGGTGAGTCCAAGTGAAGTTATGAGTCAGTAAATGACAAATCCGAAATGAGTTCACGAGTCAGTTAAGGATGAGTCCAAGTTGAGTTGCGAGTCAGTTAAGGACAAAGGGAAGGTCAGGTAAGGGTGAGTTCAAGTCAAGTCATGAGTCAGTTAAGGGTGAGTCAGTTGAGGGTGAACCCGAGTTGATTCACGAGTCAGTTA